CGGCGCCGCGCGATGACGTGTATGCAGCTCTTAAAGGGCCAGCCCCCACTATAAACAGGCCGCACACCTTTTATCCCTCCTTTCCCTCGCCCATGGAAACCCTGCTCCGCCTCGCTGAGGGGTTTTCTTCTCTCGTCGTGCGCGGACGCCGGAGCTCTCCCTGTTTAAAGTGAGCCCGCTCAAGGCGGAAGAAGGAGGGTGGCGTTGCTATGGTGACTGCGCCCCGTACGTCATCTCCGCGCGCCGGAAGTCCGCCGTGGTGGAGGCGGAAGATGGCGGCAGCGAAGCGGAGCGTCCTCTCCTCGTTGGCGGTTTATGCCGAGGATTCGGACCCGGAATCGGACAGCGAGGCCGGGACGGCGGGAAGCGAAGGGGGAGCGGCCACGGGTGAGGGCAGGGAGGGGGCTGGGGAAGGTGGTGGCCCGGCCCGCTCCGCTCCGCTGCCTTCCCCTCTGTGAGGGGAAGGCCCCGCTCGTTGCCATCTCGTCTTTCCCCATGGTTTTCTTTTTCCCTTCCTCTTTAGGAGAGAAAGGAGGTCTGGTCTCGGTTGGGTACGGAGACGACGACTTCACCCGCCTGGATGGGGACGAGGACGGATATGAAGAAGAGGATGATGAGAACAGCAGGCAGTCAGTAAGTACCTCTCTACTTTAGAATTTGCCCTGATCCCTTTCACGTGTTGCAGAGGCTTTTCTCTCTCCAAGGGAAGCCCCTGACCGGCAACCCAAGCTGGAACCTGGAATATCTGACTCCTGGTGTGGGTTCTAGTACTCTCCAAATACTTCTTCTCACTCTGTTTTCAAGCAGAAAGCTTTTCCCTTGAAACCCATCAGCAGCTTGACACAGCTCGTGTTGCTTGTTACTAACTGTGTTGATGCCATTTGACTTTTATGGGAAAAAGTCTGGTACAAGTCAACAGCCACGCTAAACGAAAATTATTCTTTAAGCGTAGTTGATGTATATGAGAACCTTGTAAAAGGAACATGCTGTTGCATGGTCAGCTGGAGGATTAAAAAGAGTAATGTTCTGTGATGTCTTAAATTATTCTTTTCTGTATAACTGAACCCACTCACTGCATCAGGTTATCTTGATGTAACAGTGTCCTGTCTAGATGTGAGTGGCTTTTGTTTGTCATAGGTGCATGGCATGTGTAAAACATAACCTAAATATCGAGATAATTGGTAACATTGTGAGACATGGCATGTAGCTCACTGCCTCTGAGTGCAGCTGTAATACACAAAAAGATATATAGTTCTGTCATGTGTCTGTAAGAGCAAAACAATAAGTTTTGGGGGAGTGGGGAGGGAGGTTCTTGTTTCTTTCTCATCAACCTCTTGCATACACAAAGAATGTGTTATCTTGTTAAGATTGTGTATTAATATTGTGTTATAACACATTAAGAATGTGTTATCTTGTTGCTGTTCTAGTTTCTTTGGCTACACAGTAAAGAAAAGAAATAGGGCTATGTTACTATAACCTTTCCTCATTGAAATCTATTTTGTGTGCATTAGGTCAGTCTCTTATGAGACACTCACTGGTTCTGCCATCTGTTTTCCCAAGTAGCAGACAAGAAATTTGTCTGTCTCTTGTTCTTGCTTTTGGTTTTGTTCTGTTGCTAACTGGAGAGGGTGCAAGCAGTAGCATCCAGGGTCTGCTCCTGGCATCTGGCTAAGCAAAGTAGTGAAGCTTTTTTACTGCTTTAGTAATTCTTCTTTTTATATCCAGACCTTCTAGACCCCCTTCAATGAGATCTCTTTAGTTTAAAGAAAGTGGTAGGTGTAATCCAGATGCTTGTCAAGATCAGCCGTGCTTAGTTAGCATGGACAAATGGGCAGGTAAATGGAGTAGCCTTTATTGCATGCACAATTTTCAGTGCAGGCTGCACCTGTCCATCATCTGGGAGGTGCAAGTTGCTGTTCAAGTAATGGCACTCGATCGAGTCAGTCTGGTGTCAGCAAGTAGGTCTTGCATATATTTGGAGTTACTGCACAGATGTGCACAAGTTACACAAACTGCCTTCTCTCCAGTCTTATTGCAGAAGAGTGATGCTTGGTTTTTTGCATTAAGTATTCTTTGACCAGAATCAAGAGCTTCCTTGATATTGCTTGTGCTAGCAGCTTGTGTTGGTTATGAGTTGTTTTTAGAAAGCAGTGTGAGTTGGACTCATGTTGTCCTGGGCTTTTATCTAAACAACTCTGTGTTTATATTATCTACCTTAATGGTGCCTGAAAAGCCTCTGTCTTTTCAAAGGCAGTTCTCAGTAATGCTTCTTTGTTTGTTGATGTTTTTTCAGTGACATCCCCTGCTAGGTTAGGCAGTTTTGGGAGCTGTTTCAGTTACCTGTCTGTGACATGAATGATTCAACCCATTGTTGCTTTCTTGAAAATTACTTTTATTTTTATAGTATCGGTGGGACTGTAGAGGGGAGAGGAATCTCATTTGTGATAAACACCAAGTTACTTGGTACTATGGTTCTTTTCCAGTTAAAAACTTACTGTTATTAAACTTTGACAGTTAAGACTGAATTATTGGCATATGTGCATGTTTCAGAAAGGTAAGCTGGAGAGCAGCTGAAGTGAAGGAGCTTGATATCTCACTTCTGTGGGATATGCATGTTAATTCAGGCAATTAAAACTTACTGACATTATTGTGTGGTATTCTCTAGCTTGCCTTGCCAGAACTTGCTTGTGTGCTAATACTCTGAGGTGGGCATTTCATTGTAAACTCTTCCTTTCAGTTGCATGTAATCATCTCACTTCTTTTTTGTTTTTCTTTTTGAAGCTGAAACACCAAGTTCTTGTTTTGGGGCCAAAGTTGAAATTTGGTGAAGTTTGGAGGAAAAAACATTCTGCTGAGTTGTGTGAGCATGAAAAACATTTTCTGCTCCTCAAACTTGTTTTGAACCCAGAATATGTATTTATGCCTAGAAACATAGATAACTCTAGGATCCCCAGTGAAGTAGCTCATAGGAGAGTGGAACAGTAGGCTTATCTACCAGTTGGGACCAGAGCTGGAGCTTATTCCTCGTGTGGTGTAGAATTTTACACAAGGCTGAGTTCAGTATTTTAAGCTCTGACAGGGCAGAAGTTTGCCCAGTTCTTTGGTTTATTTCTGGGTAGAAATAAAAACCGAATGGAGTCTGTTACCAAAAACAGTGAAATTTGTCAGTCGTTCCCTTCTGTGCAAGTTCACGTCATCTGCAAAAGAGGCTACGAGACCACTACACAAAAAGAAAGATGCGGTGTCTGCTGGCATCACTGGATCTTTGGAACTTGGTGCTAGGCCAGAGCCTCACCAAGCCTGCATGTTTGGTTGGATGGCAGGCCAGCTGTGTGTCCTCTGTGTGTTGCTGATATGTGCTTGGGAGTATAATAGGTCCTGCAAATGCTGCTTTTTCTGTAAGTACGGCTAAATGGGGACAAGTGCAAAAAGCTCCCCTGCCAACCGGAAGGGACAGAGTTATCAAATGACAAATGCTTTTTTCCCAGTTCTGTTGCTTCTTATTGTCTAGTTCTGAGCATTCAGGAGCTGCATGAGTTTTGCAGGGGCCATCTGCTACTGAGTGATGCTTTTGCCTAAAAAAAAAAAAAAAAAAAAAAACCACCCCAAACACTTCTTTCCCTGACTGTAGGACTTGTTTTCTGGTTATGAGTGGGTGGGGCAAAGCTACCTTCCATGGAAAGGGTCTTGGACTACTGCTGGGTTGCTGAATGCAAGCCCTTTGCTGTAAGTGCAGTTACTTGCCAAGCCTGCTCTTTAAGCTTAATCATGTAAATTCTTGTCTTGTAGGAAGATGACGATTCAGAGACTGAAAAACCTGAGGCTGGTGACCTAAAGGTATTTGGAAGTGTGGTATGGTGGTGGGAGGGAAGTTCAGTACAAGAGGAATAAGTCTTAACAGCATGGCTGTGTTTGTTTGTGATCTTCCATAGCTAGTTTCATACTTCCCTTTTTGTAGCTGTAACGTGGGTTTTCTTGCTTTAGTTCTGGCTTCTGCCAAAGGTAGTTAACCAGTTAGGCTACAGGCTGAGTTATGATCCAAGATCTGCATTCATGGACTTAGTCATCGTTTACGTTAGATCTGAGGTAGGTTTTCTGACAGCATCTCACCTATTTTGCAGGGCTCTGGGAGATGTAGTCTTCAGTACAGAATTCTCTTATGACTAGTGTTAGTTGGAATACTTTCTTCGTTGTGGTGGTTTAATCCCACCCAGCAACTAAACACGCTACCGCTTGCTCACTCCCCCCTGTGGGATGGGGAAGAGAATCAGAAGGGTAAGAGTGAGAAAACTTGTGGGTTGAGATAAGACAGTTAAATAGGGAAAGCAGGGCTCCATCACGCATAATGGTTATAGGAAGACAAATGCCATCACTCTGAATGTCCCCCCCTTACTTCTTCTTCCCCCAGCTTTATATGCTGAGCATGATGTCGTATGGTATGGGATATCCCTTTGGTCAGCTGGGGTCAGCTCTCCTGGCTGTGTCCCCTCCTAACTTCTTGTGCACCCCCATCCTACTCACTGGTTGGGGTGGGGTGAGAAGCAGAAAAGGCCTTGACTCTTAGTTACTGCTGAGCAGTGCTTACACAAACATCCTTGTATTAACACTGTTTCCAGCACAAATCCAAAACATAGCCGCATACTAGCTACTATGAAGAAAATTAACTCTATCCCAGCCAAAACCAGCACATTCGTTTAGTACAACTTAATGAATAAATGGTCTTATGCTCCTAGAGGTCATGAGATGTGTCAAAATCAATTCAGTTGTCTCCAGCTCTCTTTCTGTCCTCCTGAATGAAGCTGTTTTGTAAAGGTTGCATTTAAAATTAAAAAAGTGAAATAAGATCCCCAGATGATAACTATCATAAATAGTTGAAGTTGCCTTTATCGTGGGATTACATCTTGTTTCTGCTGAACAATAGGTGTTTAACAGCACAGAGAAACATACATCAGGCTAAAAGCTGGAAGACAGACAAAAGGCCTAAAGCTTCCATTTGAAGCTTTATAGACAACTGTGCTCAAATTTCTGTGTTAGTTCAATCCCCCATGCAATATAAGCAGTGTTGTGGGATGCTGAGTGAACGACAATTGCAAGGGCCTTTATTTTATCCAGTAGTCCTCAAGGATGCAGACAGTCTCTAAGTTCTGCTAAGGAAACCAGAGGACTGTGCTACAAACTGAAATTCTTCAGAGCATTTGGATTAGTGTAGGACAAGAAAGGCAGATGAATGTGTTTAGCTATTCTGCTTAAATGAGTTTTATAGTGGCACCTTCTTCCAGTATCCACAGAATTTTTTATGGGTTTATAGTGTTACACTGTTGAAAATCTTGGCAGCTCTACTGCAGCTGTAGTCTCTCGCATCAGTGTGTGAAATATCGTTACTGCCTTTGGCATACAGGTAGGAGGCACTTGGAAATGGAATGTACTGTCTCCTTTCCTTGTTGTAAGAAAAATAAATTATCTTTTTTTGGAAGAGAGGAAAACGTAATCTCTCACTGTTATCCTTTTTCTACGTCTAGATTTTTGCTATTGTGGCTGTTAAGCATGCTAGGAAGATGTTTCTGTAAAAACTGCTGGATTCAAATGTGTACTGTGAAAGAAGAATAGATGGGTTTTCCTGAAAAGAGAAATTTGGTGGGCATCACCGCAACCTCGGTAGTAGGGCCCTGGTGCAATTATGCATTTCTGTCTCCTGTACAAGGGCTCTAGGACTTCAGGGCAATGGAGAAAAGATCTGGCAAAGAGAGAAAGAACAAAATTGGACTGTAGTAGCTGTTGTCTGAGTAATGATGCATTACAGAAATTTTACCACGGAATTGTGTGGCTACTGCTTCAGTTATGCTGCTGATGTTTTATGTTGTCTTGTTTAAAAAGCCTCTTGAGTTCTATGTGCTGCTGTCTAGGTGCATTTTGCCCCTCTGAAGAAGAGCTACACATGGTCACGGAGCAGTGTTTCGGCTTCAGTGGGGAAGCACAGAAACACTGCATGCATTAAAAACATTTGGTACCTCGGGTACACTCTGCGGTAGGAGCTCTGCAAGAACTGAAGATGTAAATTAAATTTAAACTTTTTTAAAAAAAAGGTAAAATGTAATTCCTGCTATCCTAGCATGGCATGAAAGGTGAGGATTTGAGAAGAATAGCAGGGAGGCAAATCTGAACTTCAGCAGTTTCAGACTTCTATGTCATCCTTAATAGATGTCTTCATACATAAATGAAAAAGGGAATAGCCTCGTCTGGCCTTTTGGTTGTTTTTTTGAATTCTGGCTACACAGCCAGCTGGCACTCGGGGTAGAGGTAGAAGCACACCTTTACTACACAGCATACTGCAAGGCAGCCCAGTGCTGTGCTGGTAATAGAGCAGGCATGTTGCTGTACGGCATTCTGTGGGGCACTGATGGAGTTGCACTAGCCATGCTGTTAAGAAATTCACTCGGGATGGGGGGAGATGGAACATCATTGTAAAAGTAGTTTTACTTGGAGCAGTTGTGAATGTTTCCTATCCCCCTTTTCCACCAAGTGGCAGTGTTCTCGTTCTTCCTCATTGCTCTGAGCTTGCAATATCTATGACAAATAGTTAGTAAGACTTGTAGTTACTGTAAATCTGAAGCGTGGCAAAAAGTGAGGCACTTGATTATAACTTGCTAACACTTCTGGATAACTATCTGGATAACTATTTTGTTTTGTCCCAGCTGAGTGCTGTAGTTGTTCTTGCTCTATCAATTTCATTGTAAGACATCGCAGACCTGGAAACATGTTTAAATAGATATCACGGGCTCTTTATATATGTCTAGGGCTTTTCCAGGGTCTGAATCTGACTGTATGCAGAAGGTAAATCGTTTAAAAATGCATGAATGAGGCAAAACCATTGCAATTCATCAGTTAATTGTAGTCTTTTCAAGCCCTGAATATACATTCAGCATTTTTTTAGTGTTTGCCTCTATATACCTATGGTGAATGAGCTACTTTGAGATTATGTCTTGAATAATTGACCAGGACACTTGAGCCAGGTTGTGTGGAGGAGTTCCCTTGTTGCTGCTGCATCCTGTGATTTGGCTTCATTCTGCGCTGGATAGCACCAGACACAAAACCTCCAGAAGGTTCTGTTGGTGTCATTTGTGGGTATAGACTGAGAAGACTGAAAGTGGGGAATGATATACAAACTGTCTGGTAGGGTGATGGTGGGGCAAGTGGAATTTGGAGTCTGCCTCAAATAGTCCCAGTGGGGAGATGGTTTTCTACCCCACCCTATGGTGTTTATCTAAGGTTTTTGTCTTGATTCCAGGGAGTATGCCCTTGTTGATCTTGATCAATCATCTGAAAGTGTTCTTCCTGAGCAGACTTCTGGCCCATAGGATTCTCTGTTCTGAGCACCTGTGAAGCAGTCCCAAAGGCTGTGTGCTTGCAGCAGAAAGCAGAATGCTCCTCTTTAAGTAGGAAAGTCAGATACCTGGCATTCTGTAACTGCATTTTGAAGTCCTTCAGGGACTCATGGAAAATGGGAGATTAAAATCTAGGTAAAACTAATTGCTTTTCCAAATTTCACTCTGGGAGGATGTGCTCAGGCTCTGGAGCAGGACGTATTTGTTAGTGACCAAAATCACTTTGGGGTCCCTGGTTTTAAGTGAGCAGTCACCAGTTGTAAACAAGCAGCTGTCTTAAAAGCACTTCAGAAACAAAGCCTTCTGCTTAACAGGGAAAAGAAATGGTCAACAGAAGCTGTTGGCAAAGGTGTGCTGTTAAAGATGGAATTCCACAGTCTGGATAGGTTCTTTTTGTCTTTTCCTCAGATAATGAAGCTGTGGGTACAAAACAAAGGACATTGTGGAAATGGGTGTGAAATTTGGTGTTCTGCTGGCATTGGTTTGGAATGATGAGGGTTAATGGGCTGTGCAGTGAGTGCAAGTTGCTTGGGCTCTTGCCAGCAGCTGGCTGTGATTACAGCCTTGATGCAGTAACAAGATACAAGCCTTCAGAGCTGACTAAATGGACCAGCCCTGCAGGAAGAAGGAAGATGAACCTTAAATGAAATATTGACCTTGTGTTCCAAGTTTTACCTGAGGTATTCTGTACTTCATATTGTAGGGCTGGATGAATAACAGGTTGCAAGTGTTGATCAAGGACAGAGTCCAGCCCTGCAGCTTGGCTAGCTTGAGTTTTTACAGGGGGAAATCATTAACTCTTGAGCCTTGATTGTGGTATCAGGACTAGCCAGTGCAGGAAAGTTGATAAATATTGCCACTCCCTTGGCAAGTGAATGACTGACACATGGTAACAGTTTTTCAAAGCAGGTGGCTACTTTGATGTTTTCCTTTTCTGGTTTTAAGGGTCCCCTCTGCATCCTTATGGTGGTGTACGGAGAGGCAGCCAAACTGGGATCTAGCAGAAGGGTGTCAAATTTTCAGAGGAATACTATGTTTCCAAGCCTGTCTAAGTACCACCTCTTGACACTCATCAACTCTTCATTATGTTTAGCTCTTATTGATCCGGCATATGGGTAAAGTAATTTTATTGTGTTATCATGCATAGGTGTGTACTCATACTTAGGTAGAGGCTTTTGATTACAATGGTTTTTTATCTTGCCTGCCCATTAACCTGTTTGTTTAAATACCATTATCTGGATTTAAAGTAAAAGTGGTAAGTGCTGAGAACCAGTAAATGGGTGTGTGTGCAGTAATGTAATCCCTGTAATTAACTCTTATTTTGATAATGCATATTAATTTTTCTGAATTCAATTCTGAATTTGGCAGTGGCAAATTATGAAGCTTGCTTAGGAAATACCAGCCCTTGATGCTTTCAGTTGTTGAGAGGTAGTCTTAAAAATTCTACTTAGAATA